TTTTTTTTTTTTTTTTCGAAGATAATTTCACATCATGTAGTGAGTGAATTCACATCAATGTAGTGAGTGATTTCACATCATCACAATTATTATTGCAATTAAATTTATACAAATTAATATAAATTTTACAATTCTTAGATACATACATCGAATAGATCTCTTACGAAGGCTTGAAAGCAACAATATTATACAAGGTGTCTCGCAATTCGCGTGTAAAAATTGTGTCGAAAACAAAGAATGAAATTTGCTTGTTTTCGAGGAAATCGAGTTTGAAAATTTATCGACTATACTTGAATTTCGCTAATTCCATAATGGACCAGGCGCGAGTAATCGACACGAGGATATTCTGCAGATGTATCGTATTTTGAGATATCGATGTCTTTAATACACTATGAAGTTTGCTTTTGGAACACGATCGAAGAATTCAATAAGTGGGATGAAAAGGAGGAATAGCGACACACGGTGTCTCGTGAATATTTCGTAGATATTTCCTGAGATATTTTTATTATCTTCTCTCTCGTTCTAACAGCATCTCTCTTGAAGTACGCAGGTAAATAAAAATCGATGTCCAATTAATAGGATGGGTGCGTTATCGAGTGTAACACTCTGCGAGAAGAGATCAAAAGTCGTCGTCGTGTCGCGAATTCCCCCGATAAAATTAATCACTTCGTATCGTTCGTCTGACTCCCTGCCCTTTTTCTTTTTTCCTTTTCTTTTTCCGCCCTGTCGCACCCTCTTCTTTCTCCTGTCGCTTATCGAGACTTCGCTTTCAATTTCTTTTCTTTTCGACGACGCTTATCCTCCACTTTCCAAACGTCACACGTTCGAGCCACGAATTCTCATGTTTATGAGAAATTTTCGCGAAAACTGTCAATCAAGAGTTTCCCATTCTGTGAGTATTTTAATCACTGTGGAACGTTCTTCGCGTGGCGACAAAATCGGAAAAAATTATCGAAGAAAATACACCCCCCCGCCTCCCTTAAAATGAGTTTAAAAATCTTAGAATAAGCACCGTTTCAAACTTATTCCAAGTTTGCTTCGAAATTGAAAAGACTTGCGTAATAAAATTACATACTTTTAGATATTAGTTTAAAATTTATATATTTACATAATATTTATGTATTTATATAATTCGTTTAAAATTATATAGTAATGAATCTTTTAGGTGTATTAACGATTATGTTATAAAGTATTACACGCAGTTGAGGGTATTATATTATCTATTATTTTACTAAAAATAATTTATTGGAAATCAACAGTGTCTTAAGATCTTTGAACAGGAGTGTATCTTTAAATTTGTAGAAAGGAACAATATCCTCGAATTTTTCTCAAATTTCGCTATGAACGCTCCAAATGATCATGACAAAACATGCTTGATACACTAAATATAATATATTCACAAAAATATATGAATTTCTGTAAGTATCCACAATTTACTCTTCTTTCGATTTTTCCTCCTGCTTTTTTTTCTCTTTTCCTCTTTCGAAAAGTATTCTTTTACTTTCCGACGCCATTTCAAATATTAATATTATTAATTAACGCCGGACTCGCGAAATTACTTTTATAAATATTTCAAATGAAATATGAATTTACACGAGTATCCACAAGTATCCACAATTATCTCTTCTTCTTTTTCTTTTTATTATGTTTCACTTTGATTTTCGTTCGACTTTCTCCCTTCCCTCTTTTTGTCTCTTCCTTCCTTAGAAATCTTGTTTTACTCTTCGATGTCACGTCAAATATTAATTGATCGTGTTATTAATTAATATTGGACTCACGAGATGACTTCCAATGAATTTCAAGTAAAATACGAATTTACATCAATTCAGAATCTATCACAATCTCTGATCATTTCTTCCTTTTTTTTTCTTTTTTTTTTACTATAATTTACTTTAATTTTCATTCTATCTTTCCCTCTCCTCTTTTGGTCTCTTCCTTCTTTAGAAATCTTGTTTTACTCTTCGATGTCACGTCAAATATTAATTGATCGTGTTATTAATATTAGACTCACGAGATGACTTCCAATGAATTTCAAGTAAAATACGAATTTACATCAATTCAAAATCTATCACAATCTCTGATCATTTCTTCCTTTTTTTTTCTTTTTTTTTACTATAATTTACTTTGCTTTTCATTCTATCTTTCCTTCTCCTCTTTTTGTCTCTTCTTTTTTTTTAAAGTGTTGTTTTACTCTTCGATGTCAGAGTATTAATACATCGAGTATTAATACATGTTATTAATTAATATTGGATCGAGTATTAATACATGTTATTAATTAATATTGGACTCACGAGATGACTTTCAATGAATTTCAAGTAAAATATGAATTTACATAAATATTCACAATTTTTTTTTTTTTGTTGTAATTTACTTTGATTTTCATTCAATTTTTCCCTCTCCTCTTTTGAAAGTGGAGTCCTTTTCTAATCTCTTCCTTTTTTAAAAGTGTTCTTTTACTCGTCGATGACATGTCGAGCGTTAATACTATTAATTAATGTTGAACCCGCGAGATACAACTTCCAATGAATTTCAAGTGGTAACGCCGTCGCGACGGATTCACGTTTCTTCGTTAGGCGTGTGTAGTAATTAATGACATGTTTCGCCGACTCGTCGCGTTCTTTTTATTCCCTCTATTCTCTCTCTCTCTCTCTCTCTCTTCTTTTTCCAACGTAGTTTTGGAATACAGAAATACAAGAAATACCAAGTCGCATTTTGTTTGATTCTGTATCGCGCATCTGCATTCGTGGATTTCGGAGTGTTTTCTCTGCCCCTTCGAGTTCAGAAGTGCCGCCGGCCATTCGAGGTAAACACTCGAATGCTATTTCGAAGTATCGATATTTTCCCATTTAATTTATACCACTCCTTTCTTCGAAGCTTTTGCTCGAATTTTCGACGGTTCGATCTCGGTCTCTTAACGAAATCTTTTATTTAATAATCTTCTCATTTTAGGAAAGTGTTACAAAATCTGAGAAGTCTTTGAGAAATCTTATTTCAGGGATCGAATACGATCGAGTCGAGAACAATTAAAGAAATGAAGTTTCTCATAAAATATTGCAATGATATTATCTGATTTAATAGAACGAAGTTACTAAAATTCATTACGCCGTGTACACCAATTGATTAAATTTAGGTTCAACAGTACGATTTCAAAAATAAAGCATAGAACGACTACAGCCACTGTAATATATTTCTCATGTATTTCTCAAAATTATGCACATATTATAATAGATTTATTTATACAGAAAAAGATTCATTTCTTCCATCAAAGGGAATCATTCATTTAAAATTCGTTCTGTCAAAATTGTACGAGGCAAATATTTGCCGGATTGAGGTGAATAACGCACGATGATTACGTTTCGAACAAATGTAAAACAAAACCTTGTTAGGTCTTAACAAGCACGTTTCGAATGAGCTCTTCGACGAATTACTGAAGCTGCGCGTATCGTCCAATGCGAATGAAAGTAAATTGATCGTCGCGTTCGACAAAGAAATATTTCAGGTATTTCAGGTATACACGAGAGAAAAAAATAAATTCCCTAAATAACATTATAGTAGCATGAGCTAAATTAATTTGAGAAGAAATACATAATTACACGCTTGAAATGAATTTTTCTGAGAAGGTAGAAACGTAAGTCGTGTAAATTTTCGTTTACATCGAAA